GAGAGAGAGAGAGAGAGAGACACACACAGAGAAACACAGAGAGAGAGAGAGAGAGAGGGAGAGAGGGTGAGACACAGAGAGTGTGTGTGGGGGGGTGAGTAGAGAGGGTGTAGGTTACAGAAGCACTGCTTTGAAATATGAGCCTATTCTGATATGGTATCCGACAATACTTCTGGATTGGTTGAATTGACATCCAGTATTCGAATAACCTTAGCTACGGTCCACAACGTACACCGAGGGATCCACACTAGACCACGCCGTCAATCCTGATATCATAAGATTTTGGGAAATCCGAACCAACCCTATCGAGACGGCACTCCAGCCCCAACCGAAGACGGAAAAGACAGCCGGGTGTCCCGTAAGGTCAGTATTACTTAACAAAGCGAGCGGAGATGGCGACTGAAGAAGAATAGGAAAGAGAGAGAGATAGAGAGAGAGAGAGAGAGAGAGAGGGCGTGTATTCTGTAGGGTTGTGTGTGTGTGTGTGTGTGCGTGAGAGAGAGAGAGAGAGAGAGGGGGGGGAGTGTTCCATTTTGTTAACACAGAGACAGACTCTGACTAGGAGCTCTGTTGTTCAGTGGCTGGACTGAATGTAGAAAGCCGATTTCGAATGATGATTTTTAAGGCAATCTCTCGTTATAAATAAGATATTGAGTTTGTTAGACCAAAAATGGAGCATTGTTGTTTATATTTCGCCTGGAACTTCTCAATCCCATCTTTTCAGGCCTCATAGAGTTCAAAATCGCTTACGCGCACTTGTGAGGGATGATATATTTTCTACTCTATAACCTCTTTCCCACAGACGCAACGTCGCAAGTCTTCTGCACCTATTTCCATTCAATGTTCAGATGGGTTTCTTTCTTTAGTTCCATTAATTCAGACATTTGCATCTAGATCATGCCATGTTATTTACACGGATCCGAATCCCTCTCGTATCTCCTGCATACCAGCTGTAAGGAGAAAGTTCTATTCAAACAGATTTTTTTATAATAAATGCCACTTTGTGGTATTGATTCCCGCGTGGATGCTTCCCTGTATACTAAGATCGTAACTTCTTGAAGCCAATCGTTATCTATCATCCTCATCCTCATAATCTTTACTTTCTATCATCTGCTCTTATATTTATATCACACAGCTAATTTCATAACCTACATTGTGTGGCTTTCGAGCCTTGTATTGAGTGAACTTTAGTATTAAAAAAAACTGACTGCAGTGTCTTCGTTCGTCAAGTTTATGATATATAATACATTTGTTCGTTGTTGATAGCAAAAGGCAAAGGAACAAAGTACTGAAATATTATGATGACAATAACTCCATTAGCAGAACCAAGTTAGCATGTAGAAAATACAGCATATTCGTCTGTTGATTGAATGGTAGATCTATAGCAGCCATTTTCACTTTTTCGAATACCGGATGCAAAAAGCACAAAAAGTAATTTTTAAAAAGAGACCAGATCAAAACAGCAGGTTTCTGTAAGGAAGAATTAGCAGCCAAATGTAAAGAATATACTATGTAATATGACTGGTGGGTACTGTCCCCGAACTCCCCGACTTTCAAGCCTGATTGGGAGTCCCGGGCAGAGCTTTGTGACCTTCGCTATTTTATCGACATTTGCTTTTTTTTTTTTTTTACCGACATTTACATATGTTACAAAATAAACTGAGCGCAATAAGCAATTAAACGTATTTGGACGCCATTCTGGGTTCCATTTTTGTCTAAATTTGTGAATTTGTTTTGCTCATGCTAAGTCTCGAAGAAACTCTATATAAAATTCATTATTTTGCATCCATAATGTTGAATGTGTAAAAATTCTTCGACTTTCTAACAAGAAAAATCTTAAGTTGATGATAAAAATTGTCTCAAAACATTGTTGATTTATTTAAGATGGAATGATCTCTTATGACATGTTTTCATTTGTGTTTAGAAAGATACATTATATTTATTTTCTTTATTTTTCTAGTTGAATTGTTCATCTTTATTGCATATGAACAATTACTGTACATAATTATGTTACAATACAAATGAATACTACCTTATGAAAATTGAAACGTAGTAGATTGGGTGGGGGCGTATCATACATCTGCCATTAGCCTAGTATACTGTATATAGCAGTTCTTCGGGAGTGATTTTATTTTCTTTACATTTAAATATATACTCGTATATTTTTGTTTATATTTAATATATACTCGGATATTTTTTGTTATATTTTTTGTTTACATTTAAATATATACACGTATAATTTTTGTTTACATTTAAATATATACTCGTATATTTGTGTTTACTCGTATATTTTTGTTTACATTTAAACTCGTACATTTTTGTTTATATATTAAATATATATATTCGTATATTTCTGTTTACATTCAAATATATACTCGTATATTTTTGGTTACATTCAAATATATACTCGTATATTTTTGTTTACATTTAAATATATACTCATATATTTTTGTTTACATTTAAATATATACTCGTACATTTTTGTTTATATTTTAAGTATATATTCGTATATTTGTGTTTATATACTCGTATATTTTTTGTTTATATTTTAAATATATATTCGTATATCTTTGTTTACATTTAAATATATACTCATATATTTTTGTTTACATTTAAATATATACTCGTATATTTTTGTTTACATTTAAATATATACTCGTATATTTTTGTTTACATTTAAATATATATTCGTATATTTTTGCTTATACGCGTATATTTTTGTTTACATTTAAATATATACTCGTATATTTTTGTTTACATTTAAATATATACTCGCATATTTTTGTTTATATTTAAATATATACTAGTACATTTATTGTTTATATTTAAATATATACTCGTATATTTTTGTTTACATTTAAATTTATACTCGTATATTTTTGTTTATATTTAAATGTATACTCGTATATTTTTGTTTACATTTAAATTATATACTCGTACATTTTTGTTTACATATATACTCGTATATTTCTGTTAAGGTTTTTAATTGCATTTTTCTTGTATGCGATCAAGAAATTTCGTTTTCTGCTTTGTAATTAATAAGTGTAGAAATCCTCTAAATTATAGTCCGTTCCGGGTGCTCTTGCCTAATCTATTCGCCATTTTCTACTATTAGCACATCCATGGTTCTTGAAAATTGGTAATACAAACTCATTTGTTCGTATGCAAGAATAACGCATTAAAAACTTAACGAAAGCACCTTGAAAATCATTTTTCCTGAAACATGTATCACAGAGGGATTGCTGTCAAATACACAAATATATATTCTGGGTCAAGATAGGTAAACATGATAGGTGGAGATTACATCTACTCATTAGAAGACTTGATTATAAGATTAAAATTTAAATTCACATTTACAATAAAGTTTTATGACGAGTGGAAGTAATCTCAAAAGTTCAAAATAGAAACAAGATAGGTCAACATTTTATTTTATCTCTTTCCTCTCCATCTATCTATCTATCTATCTATCTATATATATATATATATATATATATATATATATATATATATATTAGAACGGATTTTTACTGACTCGACAGATTTTTATCACTTTAAACGTTATTAGAAATCTTATTAAAGAAAAATTTTCGTTCTTCGACAGGAATCGAACCTGCATCCCTCAGGATAGAGAAAGCCACCGTTTAGCCCGGAGCGCCTATACCGTTTTGGCCTGGAAGGGACAGTCTCGTAATTTCAGACTGGTAGGTGAAAATAAATAAATAAATATACTGTTTAATAAATAAAAATAATGTTTTAAAGTTATATATATATATGTGTCTTATCAAGTGATGGTGTTGAATGTAGTTTTACATTCACGGTAATTTCAACACTATCACTTGATAAGACATCAGAAGTGTTGAAAGTAAATGGCTATTTTTGTAGTGATTTTATAAAATGTATGTTATAATTTTCGAATAAATAATTATATTTGCTCTACTCTGTATTGAGCACTCTTTTAAGAATAGTATTTTTTGGTTATTGGAATTTATTCCGTATACATATAATCCTATATATTATAAATATATATATATATATATATATATATATATATATATATGATGAGAAAGAGGAGCGAGAGAAAGAGACAGAGAAAGAAGCAGGTATTTAGTAATTCTAGACCTTATTAAATAAACACTGCTCATGTAAATTATTCAATTAAAGTTTTCATGTTGTACTCGTCCAGTATCCCATAAAGTTAATTATGTGTATAATTTCACCGTCAGTGTCAGTAATTTCAAACTATGTTTGCATTTTATTTGGAATTCTTAATGAAAAAAAAATTCTTTTACTTACCAAAGTTACATTTTGAGTTAGGAGCCTGCATTGAACGGACAAAATTCAAACAAGTCTTTTGGAAATGTCTGTCATCAGGTGGGATTGGAATGGGAAAGCAAGATTCCCTGGAAGGCAAGAATCGTGATTACTGTCGAAGAACTTCTGAAAACTTCACGAAAGAAATACAAATAATTCGTGTTTGCACTTAAAATTACCTTGATTATTTCACTTTTTTTTTTTCAAAACTTTTTTACTGATATTTTTCTGATTTCCTTCAACTGTGAGAAACTTAATAAGATAAACGTATACGCGTGTGATTTACGCAAGTCGTTCAGAATCTGAAAGCCAAATCTTATTTTCACTCTGATGCTACATAAACTAATTCTATTCCTTGTCTTAATCGGATTAAAATTGATGATGCTCATTGAAGCGGATTTGGTAATCAGTTCTTTGTAGTAACGTTGATAATGCCATATAGTTTCGACAATCGATTATCCCGGCGCGTTCCTATGATAATTTCATTGAATGTTCGAGATGATAAATTATCAATACACTTTTGGCTTTTTCGAATCATTCTGCTCATATTTGTTCTAAAACGTTCATCATTCACGCCCTCATGGCGAAGTCGATATCAGCGCTGGTTAATCAAGTAGTGTTGCCATCTTGTACTTGTGAGTACAGCTTCACTTTCAGGTAAAAAAAATATATTCTATTTAGTAAGGCTTACGGCCTCATCTCGTTGAAACACTGGTTTCCGTACGATCACCGAAGTTAAGCAACGTTGACCCTGATGAGTATCTAGATAGGTGACTGCTTGGGATGTTTGGATGTGCGTGTGGTGTAATGGATAATGGCTCGGAATTGTTAATCGGAGAGCCGAGTTCCAGTTCCCATTGGGATTGGTATTTTTCATTGACGCACAAATACCCTTGGAAATGGTATGAAGCAAGATCTTTCTCCCCAGCTATGGGTTTATTAATAAGACTTGTGTTAATAATAATAATATGTGGAAAAAAAATCATCTTACGACCTAAAATATTTTCTGGCTTTAAATAACCAGCAAAGGGTGGATAAGCCGTAGAAAACGAATCAGTCAATCGATCTATTTCAATAATAACGAACAACTCATCACATTGAAAAAGTATCACAGAAATAATCAACCCATACAAAGATACCCCGTGTCATTCCAAATCATGGATCCCTGGCGATCTCCAGAAGGTACTTGACAGAAACATTGTATCTATAATAAAATCCATAACAATGGAGGATGATTCGAATACGCTAAAATATATCTTAAAAATCAAGCAAGATAATTTTCTTATTCGTTTTAATACTTAAAAAATACGACAGAAAGTGATACTAAATAAGAAAGATACAGTTTACTTCTTTTCACCATGGATGATTTATTATTATTATTATTATTTTCTTTGATTTCTGGCGTTTACACATTTCTTTCCGGGTCCCGCCCAGGGACCTAAGGTTAGAAATGGCATCATGACACTTTCCACTGACAAGAAAAAAAAATTACATAGATAAAGCCCTTCGTAAAGTGTGGGCTGTACTTGTCAGAACAATTTTTTGTATTTCCTTGAGGCATGGATTTTCAGGAATCCCTTCAATTAGTCTACTGCAATCTTTTCCAAACAGTCCTAGGGCTCCAACTACAACAGGTATTGTTGATGTTCCCATATGCCACATTTTCGAGATTTCTATTTCAAGGTCCTTGTATTTTGACAGCTTTTTGAATATCTTCAAAGATACATTGCAGTCAGCAGGGACTGCCATATCAATAAGAAGGCACTTTTTTTGTTTGTGGTCTTTAATAACAATGTCTGGGCGGTTGGCTTTGATTGTTCTGTCAGTGTGTATTGTGTAGTCCCATAGAATTGTAACAGGTCCTATCTCGGTAAATCAGCGGATTTTTTTAGTCAGTCATGTTTCGCACATTATTTAATATATAAAACCAAGTTTGATTTACCGAAATATTATAGCACTTAGCACTAAAAACTTAGCAGTCCTTAGTTCTACCAGTTCCCCATTCCCTTCGTATTCCATTGGTGAAATATAAGTCCCACTCGAGCAGCTTCTTCCCCCCGGATCGCTGCTTTGTGGAACTGACACCCAAGAGGATGCTTCCCCGATCACTATAATCTTAACCTGTTCAAGTTTGGGGTTAAGTATTGTTTTCCCAACATATCCTCATAATCTGTTCCTCTCTAACCCTCTACCTTCAGTGGCTCTTGGGCTTTATACAAGATGTACATTATTGTAAAACATAAATGGAACAGCGTCTTGAAATTCGAAATCCTTAATATACTTTGTCAATGATATTTCCTTTTCTATAGTAAATAATATGTTTTATGACAGACTTTATGGATGCGCATAAAAGAAACACTTCCATTGCAACAGGAAGGATTCAGACAAAAACTTGCGTTTTTGGCTGTCAGTATTAGTTTATGGGAGAGCGTCATTTACGAATATCAGATGCAGAGCAAAGTTTTATTAGGTATGTGCAAAAGTTTACTGCATTATTTATCAAAATATTTCTAATATGTATTCAGTCTCTATTTTTCAAAAAGAAAAAGAAAAATTTTTGCACACGCTTAAAAGTAATCTTTCTTAAGCGAAGTGTGACTTATAAACTCAAAAACACAGTATTATTTTAAAATGATATAAAAATTAATTAAAAAACAGCTTAATACGCGACACTACAGAAGTTAGCGACAAGAAAAATACCAGTTTGTTACTATGACATAATATGATGTAAAACAATATATAAAAAAAACACTTACCTATTTCTAAGGTCAAAGGTCAGTTTCTTGCGCACCTCTGGTGGAATATCATCACTGCAGCATGAAATATCTGCATGCTCGAAACCTGGGAACGAATCATCGCAATTTATTTAGATACTATGTTACGCATAAACACATTCTGTTTGCTTAGAGCCTGATTATTGATTACAGTAACACCTTGACATACGAGCGTACCGACATACGAGTTTTTTTGAGATACAAGTCGGAGTTTGAGTATCAAAACCTATTTTTACACTTTCATAGTGTTTTGACCCCAGTTTGGCTGTCAACTATTTGCCCATAGCTGGAGCCCTAACAGGTGCTACCACCCCGTATCAGGGTGGACCTTGGAACACCAGCAATTAAGAGGTGGTTCCACGATCCTCAAAACCTCCTGAGGCATGCTTTGGATGTAGTTTATCGTCTTACCCAGGACGAAAATGACGAATGGACAAAATGCAGCAAAAAGTGTTGAACGGATTAAGTGTCACACTTTACTGTAGTTTGAATGCAAAAAAGTTAGCAATTATGTAGAAAGTTTTTTTTTTTCATCAAAGGTTTTTATATTTGTTTAAAATTTTAAAATAATAAAAATATTTTAAAAATAATAAAATATTTATTTATCGGCAGGATACTTGCATACTAAGTAAATGGTATTCTATTTTAGAAACATTTTTGGTCTTTCATCATTTGCAGACTCTTTTTCCTTTCGGCACTTTGTCCAATTCGACACTTTGTTCGTTCCATACTTTATCTGTTCGGCATAATTTGTCTGTTCGGCACGTTGTCAATTCGTCATTTTACCTTTCGACACTTTGTCTTTCGACACTTTGGCTGTCACGTATCTATCTATCTATTTATCTCTGTAGAGTGAATAACTTACCTGTATCGACAGGAGTGTTGGTAATATCATGATCAATAAATTGGCCCCATTGCATGACCATGTGAGAAGCAAATTGGTGACTTGTATTATTGGAATCCGGCTCGTGAACTGTGGTGCTGACGAGTCGTGCACTGGGCAAGAGACTGCCAAATACACCTCGATTACGGGGTTCAGAGACGCCTACAATTTGATATAATTGGAATCAGTGACATACATAGAAGAAATAATTCCTCTTGTCTTCTATTTTATTCACACAAAAGAATCTTTTTATCACTTAATCGTTTTTTTAGTGGATATCCATAATTGAATATTTTTCTTTTTAAACAGTATATTATCGTCAATCGGCTTGAATATTCGAGAAATCTTATGAAAGATCCTATTTAAATGATAAAAAAACTAATTGTAAGTATTTTAAAATGGGGAGCTACTTTTCAATCACCCTGTATATCTATCTATCTATCTATCTATCTATCTATATATATATATATATATATATATATATAATTGTTAGAAGCTCGAACTCTACAGTAACAGAGTACTTCATTGTAAATATAATGCGAATCGAAAGCGAATTCTTTTTTTAAAAATGTGTTATTGATAACTAAAATACAAACTTTTGGAGCATGCATTCGCAACGCTAAGGTTGAATTTTTTTTGAAAATTTAAGAGAATGCGTTTTTTGCTAATATGGTAATTTGAGAATTTTTGTTTTGTTGCAGGAGTTTATCAGTCAATGTGACATGAAATAAATAGTTCAATAAATAGAGTAATGTCTCAGTTGTTAGCCTGAAAATTTGCACTTTGGATCAACCTTTCGATTCGCATTATATTTTTTCGTGTCGGATGCTATCTGAATTTTACCAAAAACAAAATAATTTCAATGCCTAAAGATGACTGAATGTACAGTCGAAAGTACTTGCTTATTAAATAAAGACCTTATACAGCTTATAATTTAAAAAAACAAACAAACAAGGATCATAACATTCATCGAGTGATTGGTAGGTTATATATATACATATATATATATATATATATATATATATATATATATATATATATATATATATAACAGTGTATACTAAAGTCAAAACACAGAGGTGACAATTTGTTTGATGATAAACGTGGTCATCAAGCCATCTATCCACTATCCTGATATATTGTGCACTTTAATCCATAATTATAGCATATGTTAAAACTATATGCTGAAGGTAACATCAATAAGTGACTAGTTTTACTCACATTAATCCTGTGCCCTTTTTTACACACAAATATATATATATATATATATATATATATATATATATATATATATATATATATATATATATATATATATATACTATTATTTACATACCGGACATATATTTAGGTTAAGTAACATTTTTCTACAAGAATGTTCAAGAATGGGATTTAATTTTTTGACTAAGTTCATAGGTAAAGTTAACTTTGCCTATGAACTCAGAATCTTGTGGAAAAAGTTGCACAACCTAAAATATATGTCCGCTATGAAGATGATATATATATATATATATATATATATATATATATATATATATAATTGATGCTAGTCAAGGAACTTATGGCGCTTAATGATTTCCTCAAAGAACGAAAAAAAATAAAAGGTAATGTTATTTTCTGGTAGAATGATTTCGGCAGAGGTTTGAAATTACTGTCGAGACGCGAGAAACGCTAGGTAACTTGATATAGAGGACCCGATTAATCAATCTGTTAAAATTCCTTGAACCTTTTTTGTAGCGGCTCGTATATATTGAAATTTACTTCGAAGAAATTCTTTGGATATTAATCATATTTGAATGATATCCTCTAACTGCTTGAAAATGAGAGTGAAGCCTTTTAGAAATGCAATGAACAGAAACGTTAGCTCCGCCTCCGTATTAAATAGAAAAAAAAACAAAAACAAAAAGAAAAAAGAAAAAAGCAAAGTGTTGTTACCATCGTCATACCAGGGTGAAAGAAAACGCTGCTGTGGGGTTCCAGTCTTTCCCCAAATAGGATTCTGTAGATTGTTACACGACCCATCAGCTTTCCGGTACTTAGCTTCAGGGTCGCAGCGAGGAATGCGGAATGGGCAAGGAAACTCTGGTTGAGGAATGTCTCTAAGTTGGGGTAGAACTCGAAGCTCTTTCT